TTTTCTGTCCAGGACACCATTCACTAAAGCTGCTCTATGTGCCGCAGGATCACCAGTTCTGTCCAATTGTAGTGTCAGCCACGATCACACTGACATGATTAGGTCTGGTTCTGCATTCTACATAAAGATGTTGAACTGTGATGAGAAGTGGCTTCGGGACACTAGTCATATAGAGTAAAGGAAGCTTGTGAGATGAAGAATGTTAAAATTTCCACCCTATTTCTATTAGGGATGCACCGATAACGGTTTTACGGTATAGAGTACGAGTACCGATACTTTGCTTTCGGTACTCGTCGATACCGAGTACCTATACTGGTGCTTCCGCTGACATGGAGCCAGCTTCTCGGGCAATCTGATTGCCCTCAGAAGCTGGCTCCATGTTGTCTAACCTGCTTGATTGAGCTTGGCTGGGAAACCGGCTTCACAGCCAATCAGCATCGGGCCGGGAAGCTAGCTCCATGCTGATTGGGCTAGCCAATCTGCGTCGAGCCGACTGTTCGGCTAGCGCAATGCTGATTGGCCAGGAAGCCGGCTTCCCGGCCAATCAGCACGGAGCCGGCTTCCCGGCCAATCGGGAAAATCAGAGGCAGGTCATTACTTGCCGCTCCAGCTTCCTGATCACACGGGAAGCTGGCTCGATGTTCCCCTACGGCACTGCCGGTCAGAGGAAATCTTCCTCTGACCGAAAGTTCCGGTATCGGAGGTAGGTATTGGACCATTTGGGAGAGTACGAGTTCTCTGCCAAATACTCGGTATCGGCACCGATACTAGTATCGGTGCATCCGTAATTCCTATCCCTCTAGATTAAATGAGCACGTAACCCATGTAATGGGTACTTTTTTTTTTTTTAGCAGCGTAGAGGGGAGCTTTAAGGGTGTGTGTCACATGTTTTTTGTAGTTTGACAAAAGTGCCTGACGGCTTCCGAGAAATATAGCAGTTCGTCCATTCTTGGCATTTTTGTTATGTAGAGGAAAATACGACAATGTAGCTTGCGGCATCTCCGGTTGTAGGCGATAGTGAACAGTGAACATATTTTTTCCTCTTGTCCTTGACGTAAGGATTTGCACAAAACATAATTTAAGAGTATGTAGGCAGGAAAAATGTTCACGTTCGGTGGGGTTCCAGTTTAATAATTTTTCTCCCAGCCACATGGTGAGAACATCATCTCTCCTAAAATGAAATGCAGCGCTAAGTAATAACTTTTTATGCATGATAAGCATCCAAATACAAACCTGCTGGTTTTCTGCTTTTCATTTTCTTTTTCTTTCTCCTTTGCGTAAAGCCTCCTGTCGGGGTCTCACAACATGATCAATATACTCAATATCATTTTTTTTTCATGCAGTAATTATCTCAATGTGATATTATTGCAGCACAGTATTTCTTTATTAACTGAAAGATGCGGGTGATTTGTATACAACCAGCTGATCCCATTCCGGATGAAGGTGCTCCATGGTAAAACAGTGGAAACCGTTTATTTTAAGTAAACTATTCAGAGCACAGGCGGTGTGTTCGTATTGTCAGGCTTTGAAAACCTGTGCTGTATGATTTTATATCATCTGTTTTTAACAATGTGCAGTATGTATTCTAATCGCAATATTTTATTCCTGGTTGTGCACAAACGGTTTTGAATTTAGATAAAAAGTATGAGTACTTTATTTACTTAAAGCATAACTCTAGGCATAAATAGCACAATACAAATGAATAGCTCATTAAAAGATAAAAAAAACAAAACCAGCTTTTCCTGCAATATTCAGCTTCAGGCCAGAAATGTTCCCCTCAATACTTTATTCTGCCACTAGATGTCCTCCATCTAAAGGCCAGCATCAGTCAGTCGACTTCCTCTGAGCCCATGTCTCCTGGACCCACCTCAGCCTGTTAGTAGACAGTGAAAGAAGCAGCAGCACAGTGATGCGTTCATGTCTGTGTCACTCTTCCTATTAGTGTCAACACATAAACTGATTGGCTCCTCATACTGCTTTCTTTTTTTTTTTTTTTTATCATTCGGGTTTTGCCAACAGATTTACAGTTATGTCATTAAGATAAACAGAAGTAGTATAAACATTTCATAGTACAACCAATTCAGCCGTGTATAAAACAGACCTAACGAGGCATATCACCAACATAACAGTACAAGAGAAATATTCTATTTTTAACCGCCACATTATAGTCTAGGGGTGACAATCCTTTGGGCATCTAGTCCCAGGAATAGGGCGCGAGGATCGGTAATCATGAGGGGCGGAGTATCATGTGCTAATTATTAATAAGAATGAGAAAAACAAGCAGCGAGTGGGGGGTTTGGAAGGAAGGTGGGGAGGGAAGAGAGGGGACAATGTTAGGATGGGTGGAATAAGGGGAGGGAGTTTCTCTGAGGGTTGGGCCAAGACCACATAAGTCAATAAATTAAGGGCTTTAACTAATATGGAAAGCGATTTAAGATCCACTGGTAAGTAGTGTGTGGTCCAAGGTTCCCCGGTTTTGTGAAATTTAGGTAGCCCATCATTTAGGATGGCAGCTGAGTTTTATCTGTTTCAATAGGATGTAGTAGTTGGTAGATATTACCACTAGCTTGTCGCCCAGGCATAAATCCCACTTGGCCTTTAGTGATTAGGGTAAAGCTGGCCATACACCTATAGATTTTTCTGGCTGTCAAAATATCTGAACAATCTGATTGGATGCAGGCATTGTTTAGGTATTTTGAGAGCCTGTGGGGCCGTCTATCAAGATACGGAAGCTTGGCCCAGCAGGAGATTCCTCCATCCACACAGTTTAGCGTAGATGGTGGAATCTGTTGCACTTTTTCCATCTGACCATAGAAAATCTGCAGATCTATATGAGTATGGCCAGTCTAAGCATACCCGTATTCAAGGGAGTGGCAAGGATTTTATGCAGATTTTTGACATCTGAGATAAGTGATAAAGGTCTGTAATTGGTCCAGTTTGTGTCATCTATAGCAGTTTTGGAAGCATGCTGATAGCTGATGTAAGAGATTCAGGTCATGGGTTTGTGTCTTTCAACAAACTGTTGGAGGAGACTAGGGCTGCAACCAACTAATCGATAATGAGAATAGTTGTCTATTCTCATTATATCTTAGTTGGTTGGATCCCCTAGCTCTCTGCTGGGAGGAGGGCACAGCAAGCACTGGCTGGGTGCAATAGCCAGCCTGCTATTGGCTACTGCAATTTGAAATGGCCAATAGCAGGCTGGCTATTGCACTAGCCGACTATGTGCTGTATTTAAATTTAGCTGCCATCTGCGGAATCTTGCCGCTTGCAGCTGTCATTTCCTGGATGAAGCTATTCAAGCTCCATGTGCTTAAAATACAATTATTAAAATTTTTAAAAAATATGGGATAAAGTAATTTTCAGTTTTGGCCTGACACATTCTGCTGCAGGAGGTGCGGTGCAGTGCCATTCATTTCAATTGCACCCCAAACGCGCCTCCCACCCACAGTGTGATCACCCGCACTGGAACACACGGTACCGCAGTGCGATTGCAAAACATTGTGCATGCAGTTTTAATCAAAAGTAAACTTTGATTAAACAAGAGAGCATGGAGCCGGCCTCCCGGCCAATCAGAAAGCAGGGCGTCGCGTCCTTACACGGCGCCCGGCTTCTTGATTGGACGGTACCGGACGAAGGCCGCGTTCTCACTGGAGAGGCCCCGGGGGTGACAGGCTGCACTAACCTTACTAAGGTAAGAGGGGACTTTCTTGTTAATCGGGAAGCCGGGTGGCAACTCTTTACACGCTTCCTGGCTAATCAGGAAGCCAGGTGGCGAGTCATTACACGCCACCTGGCTTCCTGAATGGGACTTCCGTTACTCGGTAATTGGTATCGGCGAGTAGCGAAAAAAAATTATCGGTACCAAAATACCGGTATCGGTGCATCCCTACTTACAACCATCGCGCGACTTTCGTTGCGCGATGGTTGTAAGGTGATTCAAATTCCGTACGAACTGACCATCTTGAACAGGCAGATCGTACTTGCGATCATCGCAAGCCCTCCCCGCTGAGGGGAGGACCTCCCATGTTTGCAGTGCTGAGCGAGCAGTGTGCGCTTGCGGCTTTCGTCTTGCAATCACGCTACCAACCCGCCGAAAATCCTACGATTTTTCAGCGGGATTTCTAGCGTGCTCGTAAGACGAAAGTCGTGCTACTGTACAGTAAATGCGGTCGCACGCTGCCCATACACCTGCCGATTATCGTACGATCGTGGGATCACCCGCGATTATTGTACGATAATAATCAGGTCTATGGGCACCTTTTTAGAGATCGGTTTTGGGCTTAAAATGTGACACTGAACTCAGGAGTTAGATCTTAAAAATGCATTCAAGTACCTCAACTATTAACCACAAATGTATCTTATTCATGTATCACTCGGCTGCAAATCCTCTCTGAATTGGTGCTGACACTGTCGTTTTTGCTGGAGGGTGGATACAAATAAGTAAACTAAATGTGAGATTGTAGTCATCACAGGAGGGAGCTTGGAGCGGTGGCTACTTCACAACGCACATAAGGACCATGTGGAACAAAAGTAGCCACCCTCCATACATAAAAATGGTGCAGCTTGCGTCATATTCATGTAATTACTGGTAGGGTGTATATTAATCTGCTGCAGAATTGCCTCAGACAAAATTTTGTCTGCAACAATACTTACATATGTGTCGCAATTTACTCCAGCATGGAAGAGATTTTATTTACCTCTGCTTTTCTTTTCACTAATATGGCGGTATTTCTTAATAAATATGTTGCAGCAGTAAAATAGTAAGAAAACTGTTGCATGGCTTTCATGAATTTGGTGTAGGATTTTCTAATGCGGGTATGACTCCAGTGTCACAAATGCTTTATTGAATCACCAATTATTGCAGGTTTAGTCATTTGTTTGTGTGATTATACTACATTGAGATTGGTCTACAAATACATAGAGTGCTACTGCAATGTTGGTGTATGCGAGGATCTGTGCCCTGTTTTTCTACCATATTCATCTTTTTTCCTTTTCAGATTGAAGTATTGCAGGAATCTCGTATGATGGTCCCAGACTGCCAACGCAGGCTAGAAGCAGCATACACAGATCTTGTGCAAATCCTAGTAAGTGCCAGTAGTGTCCTAGTCTTTTTGGACAGGTGATACAGTTTTTCACCGCTTCTGTTTGGTTTATTTGAAAAGAAAAAAAAATAAGGTAAAGGGGAAATTCAACCAAAGCCAAATTTTCTGTTTCGTATGGAGCCTTCTGTTATTCAAGACCAAATTACATTACACTGTATTCTAGGTGTGCCCACTTCATCTGTTTTCTACATGTACTTCTGATGTAAGCATGTTGACAGAGGATGCGGACATCATTGTTGCACCCTCTTTTTTTCCTGGTGGCCTCTGATTCTGTAAGAGGACTGCGAACCTTTCCATCTTTACCCCTTAAGGACAGAGGCCTTTTTTTCATTTCTTGTTATAATCCACATTTTAGGCCTGAAAATTATTTAAAACCCCAAAACATTATATATTTTCTGAAAGCCAAGACCCTATAGAATAAAATGGTGGCAGTTGCAAATTTTTATGTTGCACGACATTAGCGCAACTTATCACACCCAAATGTTTAGTGAAAAATGCACTTTAGTTAAATTTAGTGCCCCAGAACACTATAAAAAAACATTTTTTTGTTAAATATAAAAGATGAGGTTACAACGAGTAAATGGATACCCAACATGCCCAGGTTCAAAATTATGTGCATACATGAAACTAGGATGGAATTCAGTACCCCAAAAAGTCCATAGACGCTTTAAAAGCCCCTACAGCTCATCAGTTTAGAGATGCGTGTAAATATTGGCCCTAGAGTTATTGCTCTCACTCTGGCGTGTGCGGCGATACCGAACATGCGTAGCGCAATCATCGTTTTGGTAAGTAGGCGCACCGACACGTGTTTACATGATAGATGAAAGTAGTCACTCGCACTCCATGATAATAAAGTCAATGCTATTTATTAACTGAGATAACACACACATCTGCTTAGCGACGTTTCGAGACCATGCGGCCCCTTCCTCAGGCATCCGTTGTCACCACCGCATCCACCCAGTTGGATTTGGGGGGTTTTTCCGGTCAGGAGTGGGATGGGACGGGACGATTAAGTTGCGTGTTTACATGATGACGCGCATGCTCGCGGGGGACTTTAAAAAAAAAAATATTATTTTTACATTGAATTGACTATTACAAGCCCTCCATGTGATAGCATATTGGCAGTGACAGGTACTCTTTAAGGTAATGCTAGGGGTCCAAAAGACCCCCAGTGTCATCTTTACACTTTAAATAAGCTATTGAAGTGCAGATCGCACTTCAATATCTTATTGCTGGGCTTCAGGAGCCCAGCACTTACAGCTATGGGACCGGAAGTGATGCAATACATGTCACTCCCGGTCCCATAGAACGGGGAGACCAAGATAAATCACTTCTGAATTTTTTTCACCTTTTAATGTGACCTATAATCTTACAATGCAATTAAAAACAAACGGAAATCTTTAAAGGGGGGAAAATGTAAAATAAAAACCCTACAATAACGTGGTTGCATAAATATGCACACCCTTAAACTAATACTTTTTTGAAGCATGTTTTGATTTGATAGCATTCAGTCTTTTGGGGTAGGACTCTATTAGCTGGGCACATCTTGCCTTAGGAATCTTTGCCTGCTCTTCCTTGCAAAAGCGCTCTATATCTGTCAAATTGCAAAGGGCACCTCCTGTGCATGGCCCTCTTCAGGTCACCCACAGATATTCAATCTGCTTCTGGGAGTGACAGGTGTTGCGTACAGCCATGGGCAGCAGCCTGTACAAATCAGTGACAGACTATGGCTGTATGTATATGCCTGCAAATCCAAGCATTTTCCTCCATATCCCTGGACACAAACTCTCTGAATCCAAGGCCGCTCACCCATCCCCGTAAGGATGGAATATGTGGTTATATGCATACAGCCACAGCCTGTCATTGATTTGTACAGACTGCTGTACGCTACACGTGTTGCTCCTGGGAGCAGGAAAATCGGCCAATTTTTACGGTGTGTGGTTATTCAGGTCCTGTGATTGAACCCTTAGATAAACTTTAAAGATCCCAAAAAGGCTCCAAAGACTGATTTTCATTTTTTTGTAACAGTTTAGATAAACCTGCTGTGTGGCAAGCCAGCATTATGTAGCCATAGAAAGTAAAGGGGAAAAGAGCAAAGATTTCAGTGGCTCTGTTGTGAATTTCAAGATGAAATCCTCCACAATGCCTATAGCTACAGAGGTGAATGAAGAGTTGTTATAAAGTGCTTTTATTGTCTATTCACATACAATGCATCCTTTGTGGGTTTTTTGTCATTTATATTTAAAGTGAATGTAATTTAAATGTTGTTTTTGGTTTTTTTTTATTTATTTTAAAATAAGCTATATTTCTATAGGGAGGGGCGTTGATAGTACAGCGGCATTGAAGGGTTCTCTAGAGACATTATGTAACACTTTGGGTTTTTTTCTGACTCCAGCTCAAGCAGATAAGGGACATATGCAGTTTACTCCGCCATTGCCACTAGGATATTGAAGCTCTGAATCCAGATGTGCTCAGAGCTGAGCATTTCTGGATTCAGCCCAAGCAGATAAGAGTTCTTCAATCTCTCACCATCATGAAACTGGCCTGTAGCAAAACTGGGCTCTCGGAGGACCTGGAAGAAGGGGGCTGCGATTTGCAGCCGTGATTGTGATTTAACCCTTTTATTATCGTAATATGTTTTATGGCAGAGGGCCTCCATCACTGGGGGCTTATAGGATCCAAGCAGCAGTGCTGTGTCATATTCCTGTGATGTATATGCGCTGACTGTTTAATTCTGACTGCTATTCCTCTTTATGTAACATGGCATTCTGCTGTTTTTTTTTTGTTTTTTTTAGGAAAATGAAAAAGAATTGGAAGAGGCAGAAGAATACAAGGATGCCCGTGCCATGCTGGACTCCGTGAAGTTAGAAGCATAAATACTCTCCAAATTCCCCATTTTTATGCCTTGATATAATTCCACTGTCCTATCTCACAATTGGGAAACTGAATGCAATTCCACAACCTAAAAGTACAGGACATGTTTAAGATTCCAGTTCTGTAGCGTCAGGATCTTGAGAATAAATTGCTTTATATTCTAAAGATATGTAGTAGCGTACTTACTGGTGTAGTGAGGGGACAAATGTATCTCTCATTGTCTGCAGTGAAAGTAGTTAATGATGAAACAAGGAATGGTTTATAACAACATCATACGACACAAAAGGAGGAATAAACTGGTTATGTGAGAGTTAAACATTTGGAGTTGGTAAACTACTGCCCGCGGCTAACATTAGTCTGTGGCTTTTTACTTAACTCTTTTGCCTGAGCACACAACCACCTTATTAAGGGAGTCCTCTCTATCTCGGGCACACACTTCATGAGTTTGTTCGTAGACTATTTGCTATATATTCCATGACTGATCATTCATTATGTTTTAATGGACACACGTATGCTGTACTTATCATATAGCCGTGTAACTGGAAAAGATCATAGAACATTCAGAACTAGGACTTGTAGGAAGTAGGATGGGTGTGAAAGGGGCTGGAGAGTAAACTTTTTTTTTTAATTCAATCTCTGCACATAATCCAATGAATGATTCATCTTAAATAGCTTATGTCACGTGTTTCCTCCTTCGGGTCAGCAGCTTCTATAAACATATTGACTGCTTCGGGTCAGCAGCTTCTATAAACATATTGACTGAAGGTTGTAGTCAAACTTGTATGTGACACAAGAAGCAGGTGATTACTCTCTGCTTAGTCTCCTGGATTATAGGTAGATACATGAACCACTGGAATAGGGGCAAACGAGTTAAAGAAAGCCCATGCTGAAAGAAATGTAAATGATTTTGAAAATGTTGCTTTCGTTTCCTGCATTTATACTTTCTGTCACAGACCTGGGACAAGTATTCAGTAAACGGAGCCAAAAACCCCTAAGCTACAAAGATTTTTAAGCATCAGTGTCTCAAAGATTGTAGCCAATAGACCAGCTTGACAGCCAAACAAGAAGCCCTAGGTTTTTTAGAAGTCAGCAGTTGCAAGCAAAACTTACTCTCCTTTCTCAAATCCGACTGCTAATCTGGTGTGGATTCATTCTTTAATAATTAAATGTTTAATAAAATAAAGCCATTCAATCCAATCAGAGATATGTTAAGGCATTTTCACTCTCAGCTGTGGACATTTTCTATGGTCCGCTCCCCACAGTAGTATACCACATGGGCCAAGTCTGCTGCCTAGACTCTACTGTAATCAGATTGTGTCTGCACTACAGTCAGTCCTCAGGCTCAGCTCTGCTGTAGCTCACACTTTTTGAATCAGAGGTCCTCCTAAACATTTTTAACAACATGTGTTGGAAGTACAAGTCTAGTCTCTTGTTTACTAAGAAAGCCGTTGCAGGTCTTTAAGAACTTAGTTTATATAAATGCTTAACTTTGTGATGCTCAAAGTGTCTGGCACTTGCTTGTTCTCAACAAACTTTATTGAGTCCTTGTTATGGGGCTATAGCGTTTGACTATATACAAACCTACACTACCTGACTGTATAAACTGTCAGCCTTAAACATGATTGAAAATAAAATATTTGCCTTCCTATCCTTTCGTGACCACCTCTGTTCTTTTTTTAAAATTTTTGTTCTGTTACTTTTATTGTATGTTCTTCTTTCTACTTCTTGAACCCAAACTGCAGTTAATAATAGTAGTTAATCATTTGCCCAATGACTGTCAGCAGAAAAAGTGAAGCTCTCACCTAAATCTTTACCTTCTCCTCTGCACTGCCCCTTGCAGGCTCACAACTCCATGGATCAACACTGGTCTGCTTCAGGATTGAATTATGCCAGCTTCATTAAAACTATTTCCTGTGATCAAGGACTACAGCTTACAGCATTGCTGCAAAGGGTGGCATTCTGTGCAGAGGTCTGTATTAGCATTGGCTGATTCAGATAACCTCCAAAATGGCTGGATTTACTAAACGTATACTCACTGTGACTATTTACTATGTTTTTATAGCGGGTTTACAGTTGTGCTTACACGTTTGCAAAAGTACATGTGCCAAGAATATATTTTCCCACTGAATAGGACAGATTTACTAGTTGTTGACCTTTTTGAAGAGAATCGTTCGCTTTTCTGAAACTCCAGTTGCAGGACCACTTATTTAACCCTTTAGTGACTAAGAGATCTAAGAACTGCTTACGTTCACTCAGTGAGTTCTCATCTTACATAATATGAATTGAACATCCTATGTGCCTATGTAATACCAACTTATCAGCAGCAAGTGATCCTGCAGATAAGCCCAACAATTAAGACCGCTTGGCCTAACACAGTTTTATGCGGGTGGCAAATTTCCAGACTGCCCATCTACATACACTTTTAAGGTGCTCCGATATAGGGTTAATGTCATCGGTGTTCTGTAATCAAATGCTCCAAAGGACGTATTTCACCTTTTTAAAAATCTGTTTACAATTGGCATGGAAGTAATTGTAAATGTGGTTATTCGCCTGTTATGGAGTGATCAATGCAACGCAACACTGTGTCAAGGCTACTATTATTTGAGTAGCAGCTATCAAAAAAAGTGCTTGCTGCTATGTTCAGGACAGTCTGGACATATGAACTCAGATGAGTGTCCCCAGCCCTGTGTTCCCTAGATGTAAAACTCATCTGCCACTGAAGTGGAGAAAGCAATGCTGCAGTTAATTAACAGCTTTCACATTACATTGCCTTTCCTGGCATCCCTCCCAGCAGCAGATTTGAAAGTTTTGGAGCAACTTTAAAAATCTACATGAATAGTTATTTCATGTCACAATATATAGCAACAGTTTAAGGTGTGTTTTTTTTTTTTTTTTATTGTTCCTTTAAATCATTTTAAAGCAGTCATGAGTTCCAGTAAAGTGACTTCCTAGGCTGAAAAGGGCATTCTGGAAAACTGGTGGCATCAGTTGCAGGCTGGAGGAAGCATTTCCTCAGTCTCCCCTCCTCCACAGATTGCACTGATTGTAATGCAAGGCTGGAGGAAGCATTTCCCCAGTCTCCCCTCCTCCAGAGATTGCACTGATTGTAATGCAAGGCTGGAGGAAGCATTTCCTCAGTCTCCCCTCCTCCAGAGATTGCACTGATTGTAATGCAAGGCTGGAGGAAGCATTTCCTCAGTCTCCCCTCCTCCAGAGATTGCACTGATTGTAATGCAAGGCTGGAGGAAGCATTTCCTCAGTCTCCCCTCCTCCAGAGATTGCACTGATTGTAATGCAATGCTGGAGGAAGCATTTCCTCAGTCTCCCCTCCTCCAGAGATTGCACTGATTGTAATGCAAGGCTGGAGGAAGCATTTGCCCTGGCTTCTCTCCCTGAGGAGCACTCTAACACTGCAATCTTATAGGAGCAGCAGCAGCAGAGGCTGATCTGTCAGACATTTGTGAACATAGCTTAGAACTGCACAGACACAAGGATTTGCATGATGCAAGGTTGCCAGTCACTGCCCCTGAATGAGAAGTGCATGTGCGCTGGCTTTCATGAATTATGGTAGAATATAAAGAATTTCTTGTTTTGTATCAATGGAAAAAACTTCAGTATTCAGCCTTTTTCTTTCTCTCCTAAACAGTGGCTGAGAGGGCCTGGGTGACCATCTCTGATTTGCCCAGGCTCAAAAGTACAGAATTGTGTGGTGCTTGTAGCAAAATCAGACATCCCAGGCAAGACCCCACCAAGGTTTGGAACAGAGGGACTGAAAGACACATTGCACACTCTATTCGGATGGCAAAGTGGGTGATCTGTGAGTACACAGTACACTTTTCCACGAACAGAAATGCACAAACTGTGAAGGTCAGTTAGGCCCCATTCACACAGAGTGACACTTCCCGACAGGATAGCGCGACTGTTCGGGCAACGATCGCGCGACCTTCACCATCAGGCTGCATGCAAAAAGAGAAAAATCGCACGACATCCACGGAAAAAAGGGTCCTGCACAAGCGACAGGCAACATGCAGCTGTAGAACAGCTCCATTGAAAATAATTGGACGGCGGCTTCTCGCGATATCGCGCGGCAAATATGCACAAAATCGCGCGATTAAATGCTCAGTGTGAATGGGCACTAACACTGCAAGACCAACCAGACTGCAGCACTTTGGAACCTTTGATTAAAAACAAATGCATTTCTGGCAGTCATAAAAATCATGTGTGGGTGGCTATGTGCTGCCACTGACACCCCTGCTTCTAGGTTTCACCCAATGCTTGCTGTGCAGATGTCCTGTCCTGCCTGTTTGGTAACAAAATCAGTCACCCCTGCTATCAATGTGGTCACCTGAAGCTTTCGCCATATGCTTGGATCCCAGTGACAGGGGAATTTATCAAAATTGGAGCAGGCAAAATCTGGAGCAGTTGCCCATGGCAATCAATCAGCTTCTTTGTTCAGTTAAGATTTGAAAATGAAAGATAGAAGCTGATTAGTTGCCATGCACAGCTGCTCCAGTTTTGATAAATTCCCCTCTGTGACTTTTAAGACTATAATCATTTCTCATACATGCTGTAAGAGCCACTAAGTATGAACTACTAATTTTGTAAAAATTATAGATTGTATTAAAGGCCGATATAATAAACACAAACTATCACATGTTTGTAATATTTAAAGCATACACCAACAGGAATGCCAGACCAAAATTGCAAGAGTTCAAATCCCTTTATTGGCTTGCAATACAATGTCCTATGCGTTTCTGGGGCCAAAAACCTCCCCCTTTATCAGGGCTAAAAGAAAGTATAAACATATTATGGACATTTACAGTAATTATCTATATGCTTAAAAAAAACATAAAAATATCTAATGATGTACACAATCATAAAATCACTTTGAAACAACAAGAAGCACATTCATAAAACCGAATATGAATTGGTAAAAATTGTTCTGTGGAGATGATCCCTATTTTTTTGGACCTGCACAGTAATTATTATTATTATTATTACATAGTATTTATATAGCGCCAACAGTTTGCGCAGCGCTTTACAATATAAGGAAGACATTACAGTTACAATACAATTCAAGACAAGATGAAAAGACAATCCCAGGAACTCTAGAATTCTGTTGCGTGTCTGCACGAAATGTCAGTTTTGGAAACAGGTACATGAAT